GCTTGTTAAGAACTTGTTCCAACTTGCCAGAGAAAATAAACCTTCCATTATCTTCATTGACGAAATTGACTCTCTGTGCGGTTCAAGAAGTGAAAATGAAAGTGAAGCTGCGCGCAGAATTAAGACAGAGTTCCTAGTTCAAATGCAAGGTAGTACCAGTGATCTTTTTGAAGTTTCTGTGTTATTTTACAACCGGTATTATCACAATAATGAAAAGATCATTATTATCCTACCCAGCTGCCTCAGGATGCCATGTCTCTCTAGTTGTCCTCTGCATGCAGACGTAGTTGTTGTCCAGTTGTAAGCATCTCATAGGACTCACTGGTATGAATAGTAAAGAGGAATGACATTCCCTTAGAACAGGAACAACATCAGTAAAAGCAAAGAAATCTTCAGATAAAACATTTCAGGAAACATTTTGAATAATGAATAATAAAAAGATCTTTTGTCTACCCACAGTTGTTAACAGAAACATGGGTGAAGTTTAAAGCACACTAATGTAATTATTGAAACACTTCCTATTTTGATGCAGGGGTTGGTGTGGACAATGATGGAATTTTGGTCCTGGGAGCTACAAATATACCCTGGGTTCTGGATTCTGCTATTAGGCGAAGGTATGCTGATACAGTAAATATCTTAATTCCCAGCTATAAATGTTAACAAGTCAGTGATAACTCCCAGTGTGTCTCATTAGGATATATTTTGAAACAATTTTTCAAGTTATTTTTCATGGGGCTCCACCTTGGGGAAACGGGGCAGCCATGTGTTTGTTTGTTGATTTACTATATTAAAGAAATGTAATGTCCACATGTTGGGATCTTCCACTTTGGGAAATACATTACTTGATGCTCATCTTAGCCAATGTTTTGTTGTGCTCAACTGTAGTACTGTGGGTTAAGGCACTGAACTGCAGTGTCAGTTTGAATGGCAAGGACAGTGGTTCAAGGTCACCAGCCACTCCTTTGAAACCCTATACAGGGTCACTATGGGTCAGAACCTACTGGGCAGCACTTAACAACAACTAACCTAACAGCTGGTGGTCTGAACCCAGCCAGTGGCATTGGCTGGCAGTCTGCTTCCATGAAGATCTCAGGCACAACATTTCTATGGGACTCAGTTTGACACGAACACATGGGGCCACTGTTAGTCGTAAACAACTCGATAGCAGCAGTATTGGTTGTGGAATTGGCCGCCTACCTTAGTGGACACTGATAACTGCAGAAATGTATAGCTGTCGTGTACCGTTTCAATTAAAAATGGTTAGCATATCAAAGTGAGAAAATCAAGATAAATTATTTAGTTAAAAATTGAATCTGGAACTTCAACTCTAGGCAAGGTGTACAGATTTCTTTTTAATGTTTCACAGTTGGCTGTTCCTTTCCTTTTATTTTACATGCAAACATTAGCACTTCCATATTTGTCCTTTTTATCCAATTCACTTGATGGTTTTCCAGCAGGCTAAATTACCATCTGTATTACTTACCTTTTACTACTATTAGCAGAGATTCCACAAATGGGTGACTTTGGACAAACAGAAATGCATTCTTTCACAGTTTAGAAGACTAGAAGTGTTGAATTCAGGGCATGCCCTTGAGGGGGGCCTTCTCTCTCTGGTCCTTGGAGATCTCCATGTGTTTTGACTCCAGTCTTCCCCTGGGTCTAGCGGGTGTCCAGCACAGGGGACCCAGGACCGAAGGCTGTGCTCTGGCTCCTAGGCCTCGTTCTTGATGGTAGTCAGGGCCTTGCTTCCCTGGTTGCTTGTTTCTCCTTTTAAGAGAAAAGGTGACACGGGCCATGCCCGAGGGCAGCTCCCCTTACCTTGGATCATGGCTGTGACCTGCCTCACAGGTGTTGGGTCCTCTTACAAGGAATCAATTGGTCACATCATGGGGATGATTACATCACTGCTTAACTACCAAACCATTGGGAAGCTAGACATGCAAATACTCTGGCCAAAAAAATGTCAGAAAGACCCAACTGGTTTCCTGCCTGTTTTGGTTTGGTTTGTTTCTAATGTGCTTTGATCATCTTTTCCTTTACTGCACTTTGACCTTCTATGTTGAACTCTGACCCAGTGGCCCATGTAACTGTCTGTCTTCACTTGGCTCCAACTAAACAGCTTATGTATTAAAACAAAATGTGCAAAGATCTGGAATCAGAAAACCAAAGAGGAAGAACACGCTCAGCATTTCTCAGGCTGGGGGAACTAAAGAAAAAATGGATTTTCATTGTTGAAGATTCTCTGGGCAAATTATTGAATGATGCAGAA